GTATTCTTACAAAGGCATTTGTATCAGTGAACACATAAACATCTTACTCAAACATAGCCTTCCTTGCTTGTTGGTAGACTCCATGAGGACTGTCTTCTTTGAAATTCCAAGGTTTGAATTCCACATGTGTTGCTTCTTTCTCAGACCTCAGTGAATAATAGGTGTCCTGTTGGCTTTTTTTTTTTTTTCCATTTTCTTTGGGGAACCTGAGGGTTTCTAATGGAGTGAGGGGAAGAATAGGAGAATCCTGACCACTGGAAGCCACTTTTCACTTGCCCAGTGAAAACTCATTTCCATGGTATGAGACTTCCTGCCCAGAAAACAACATACCTTCCAGGTTATGTACAATGGACCTCACAGCTCTTGGTCTTGAATTGCTGAGCTGGTCATTTATAGTCCCTGACTGTAAGACAGATTAGACAAAAGACTTTTAATAGTAAATGATTTATGACAATGTGAATGTATTTAACACTACTAAATTGAACATTAAAAAATCATTGGGAAAGCTAATTTTGTGTTACCACATAATTTAGTTCATTCTATTTCAGCACAATTAAGAATAAAAGCGGTTGGGGTGGTGGCTAGTGGTGGGTAAGGCAGCTGGATCCCACATGGCCTCCTGTATGATTTGAGTCCCAGACCCAGTGACTTGAAAAGTATGTCCAGTGTGGTCATGCATGCATGACACAGATTTCAGAAAGAAAAGATGAAGGAGAAGAGATAGCAGCACAGCCACTTCCCAAAGGGGTTGAGCACATTCTCATTTTATCTCTTTTTTTTCCTCTCTCTTAGTCTCTCCAGTGAACACAAGTGTCTAGCAAATTAAATAATAAAAAACAAAAACAAAACAAAACTTTTTAAGCATTCTAAGGCAAGTGAAGCAAGTGTTAAATACCTGGTCTCTGCTTTCCATAATCAATGGGAGTAACTTTTTGGAACCTGTTGCTTCTTGGTCTTCAGTGGAGCAGTTTCCTTCCAGGTCTGCTGTTTCACAGACCTCATTTTCACTTCTTGGGCAGAATCCATAAAGAGTGATAGGAAACTGAAACAAAATATTCTCACTAAAACTCAATTCTAAGCACAAAAATTTCCCATTCATATAATGTAATTTTAATCTTTTGAGATACG